TTTTGGAAAAAAAGTCACCTTTTAACCCTTTGTTTTGATATACTAATAGCTTTTTTGTTAAATTACTTGACTGCAAAATTTTGAATGCTGAACAAACGAAGGCATCTTATAGGTGGAATGCCAAACTCTTTAAGAAATGGCTAGAATCTTATCTTTATTTTGCAGCAGTGGTTGAATGGTAGACGAAAAATTGCTCTTATCAAAATTCAAACGGACAAAGTTTTACAATGGAATGAGCTCCTCAATGGCATTGATCCAGCCCAGATCAGGGACTTAGACGATTCGCATAGGTACTAGGCTAGATAACTATGTTATAGCTATATTTTTATCACTTTTTCAACTATTTCAGGCACTTTTCCAAAAGAGTTCCCATTGCGTCTCGAAAATTAATTCAAAGTAAATATGGGAGTATCCTCATTGGCAAGGATAACGATACATGTGCATTGGAGTTTTCTGTTAAAAATGTTGCCTAATGTTAATAAAAAGTTGGAATTTATGATGTGTTTTCATTTTTTGGTTTTCCTCTCCAATCATGGTTACCTCATTGTTATCAATCCGCTCATGTAATCTCTTCGCTTGGTTCCCAAACCTTGAAGTTTTGAGTGAACGGAACCGAATTCAATTTTCTGAGCGCACTCTGTTCACTTCCGAGTCTGAAAGCTGTGATTTTATGAGCATAGTAATCAGCTGATTGACTGATTTGGGGAGTATTCGTAATCTTCCAATTTATCCAGAATCTTACTAACCTAGTTCCTACCCAGTATAGAATTCGTTTCTCCTGTCATTTGGTCGCTTGCCGCTACATCCTTCTGTTCTTCTTCAAAATTTTTCTTACTAGCTTAGTATCTTCCAGTGCTCATTAAATAAAAAGACATCACTACAAGAACAAAAAGATGTTTATATGTATATGTGTAAATTCAGTTCGTTAGCTCTCTTTGGATTTTGTGCCAAATAATGCGAAAGATGCGCTTCGGCTTTTTTGTTGTTTTTATGAAACAAGGGAGATTTTCCTTTCTCTCAGGATAAGCCATACTACGTTTCTTCCTAGTCTTTATTTTCTGCAGGATGCTTATTACGCATTTACGGAAGTCAAAGGTCGAAGAACTTTAGGAAATGGAGCTATCACACAGAGTTATTGCCTGGCAAGATTTTTCATTTCTTGCAGTGCCTTGTCAATACTCAAGAAGAATAAGAGTTTTAGTGCTTGCGAAGGTGCATGCCATGAGCACGGGAAGCGGTGCTTTTAAAATCGAATAATTCAAAAAAGAAGCATTTTGTCAAGTGTGAAAAGATTGATTTGAAGTTGAATGGGAACTCAGTGCGTCATTTGCAGGCCACACCACAACTCGTCCTGTTTTATCTGTTTTCTTGAACTTTTTCTGTTTATCAGATTTAAAAAACTTTATGAACTTTACTGTATTGCGAATTATCTTTAACTCTAACTTAACTTTGCAGCAATCGTGGTTAGGCCGAATTGCTGTTAAGTTGCTTCTTTGGTCTTATTTGATCCCTCCGTCGTGGCTTTTCCTCTCTGCTGAAGTCGCTCAGATTATCTTCTTGCTATACATTAGTTCAAAATTTTTTCTTTTTTCTACAAATCTACCGCTAATTCTTAGTACGGGATTAGCAGTAACAGTACCTGTAATTTGTCCTGAAATTGAGCATGGACCTGCGAAATAGGCATAACGTCTGATATCACTATTCTTACTTATTGTAAATGAGCCAACGAACATTCGAGGTGAGCTGACAATACAGCACTTTTGATAGATACTGTGTCAAGCAAATTGTTCATCTTTTGCGCCATTTACTACAAACAACTTAAATAAGATGTGAACATCAACTTATTCATTTTAAGAACTCTATACTATGTGTTTGCTGTAATCGACTTCTTCTATGCATCGTCTTCAGGTCGCCAATACCAAAATAAACTCTGAGTATCAATGAAACATTACCAGATGTTGCACTATTAGCTGCTTTTCTTAGCTTTTGTACTACTTATGTATTCCTGTTCTAAGTTTACTATTTTTTAATCAGGAAGTACCCGTTTATAGAGAAGCTCCGCTATCTTCTTCGTGTACTCTAACCGATCTCTACCACTAACTTGTCTTTAGATTCGGATCTGATGTTCTTACAAAGCGCCTTTCATTTTTTTAAACTCAAACCTCGGCTTGAGGTTTTCGAGTGAGATTTACAAAAGCGAATACCCGCTCAAAAACCCAGCACCTTGAAAGAAGCTCAAACTTAAGAAAGCCTTTGTAACTGAAAGGAACGCTTGCAAATAGGACAAGATTATAGCGCTCTTTGCTTGGAGCGCGTTTTTTTATTAATAAAACGATTTAGGTTCCTAATAAGGAAGGGAGGAAGTTCTTTGATATGTTTACGCTATAAGTTGGGCGAAAGGGTGTGTAAAGAGTGTTTGATTTAAGCAAAGTAAAATTATGGGAAACGAATTTGCGATCAGAGGTGTGAGATCTTACGTAAATCTCCGCCAAAGGCCGCGAAAGGGTACGGCAATTTTTCTGTTCTCGTAGATTTTCAAAAGTATGGCATACAATCCTTACACCCATTGTTGCGCAAGTTCTTACCAAATTTTAAACCATTTTTCCGCTATTCGCTTAGAATGCGCTTCCAAGCTTTAAAGCAGGCTTGTAGACATGCTAGTTCCTTGGTAGGTAGTTAGCCGAGACGATCGTGAAGTGGGTACCAATAAAGG